GGTTTTTGTTTGCTTGTTTGTTACATTTTTGTGGGGGGTTTGTGCTGCTTTTTTTTAACTAAGAACAAGAATCTTCACAGTGGCACTGAGGAAGAATGCTAAAAGCAATTTCCATTGGAAGGTGGCCTTGTGAATATTCATACAATGTACTGCGTCAGATAAGGTCCTCAAGACAAGCAAAGGACTGAAATACATATGGAGAGGAAATTAGATAGCTAAGAAACATTTTTTCCTTCATGAATTACAACTGAAAGTGTCAGTGTATCCACTTGCTTGTATCAAATGAATCCTGAACATTTGCCTCCCAGTTGTCATGTGTGAGCTGCTTACTGCAAACTTCATAATGGCATCAGATTTCCAAGAAATAAGACAGACATTTAGTTGTAGAAAATGAGAATGAGCTGAAAGCAGAAAAGGATTTCACCTTCACACACAGCTGGGATTTTGTGTGTGTGTGAGTGTTTTTCGATTGAGTTTGTTTTTGTTGAAACAAGGAGAGAACAGAGAGCAGAAACTGACAAGAGGCAGAAATGCTGACTAAAACAAACTGCTGAAACTGAACTGACTTCATTGCCAGAAGTTAAAGGGAGGTAGAAATAGAACTAAAAGTGGTGCCAAAAATGTGCTTTCTGCAGAAGAAAAAAATCCAGTTCTGTTCTCAGTTCTCCTCTGCAAATCCACAGAAATGCCAGGCATGTGATACAATCTGTTCTGGACATACAACAGTATGATGTGGGCATATGTGGTTCATACTGCCTGGTGCACGGGCAATTATAYCCTTGTGGGTATTCAGAAGAAAACTGTACTTCTTCCACTGCACAAAAACCCCCCAGATCAGTAAGAGTGGCTACCTTCCACACAATCTAGAAAAAGCAGCCCACTTCTCACAGAAGAGACATTCTACAGAACAGTGAAGCAAACTTGTCAGATTTTTCAATTACTTAATGCTAAATACACTTGCTTTTTCTTGAGAGACCAAGCTTTTCTATTTTAACTGACATACAAAACTGATGTCCATGCACCAATCTATTTTCAGTAACAGGATATATATGGGAAACTGCAAAAAGTAATGYGTCTGTAGGGATCATAACTCAAATATGAAAGTAACATATTCATAAGTGTTCCAGTTKGTGTGGCTCAAAGGTTTTCTAAACACACACATCTATTGAGTTAGACTTAACAAAAGTTTAGAATTTCATTATGAAACCTAAAAATTACAGCAGTATACTGATACTGGCAATGTGAAGGCAGACATTGAAGATATGCAATGCAATCTTCCCCTCAAAACAGACATGATGTATACAGCAACACTTCCTGCTTTCCCCATCTTTACCTTCCAAATTCCCTCATCTAGATTACTCTGCAGCCCTAGCAGCCCATTTATACTCAGCTGACTGCCCACCACCATTATCTGTATCTGCCCTCATACATGACCTTAAAACTGCAATCCTGGAAAATACCTTGCTCACCAACCCAAAGTGTCACTGGCTATAATTAGCATTCTGGGAGCTAACTATACAGTCATTAAGGCTCTGAGAAAGACACATGTCCCCTCTTAGTTCAGTGTACATCAAGTGATCAGTCAGATGACCATTAAAGCAGTGGAGTCTTTATTCAGTCAGCTTTCCTGGCACAACCCATGACCTGTCTCCMCAGGTTATCTTCAGAGAGATGGATAATGATGCTCTTTCATGCTACCTTTCTCACTATGAAATCTAGGGCTTCCAAATCTCTTTTCCTACTCCCAGGACTCCCTGCAATAATAAAAACCTAACTTTGAGTAGAAGAGCAGTCTGAATACTGGGCTGTCATTCAGCAGCAACAGCTTTTGCTAAGCACACATAACTCCACAGTAAATGTCCACTGCCTACTGTGACTTCCCTCCTCACTGAGAACATGGGGCAGAATGAGAATCTTTCTGTTCAAAAATTTTAATATTTTAATCTATTATATCTTGTCACCATCATCTCATTCCAATTTAGATGGTCAGCTAAATGATTTAATATACTGAAGAAATATTGCTAATGCAAACCCATATGTAATGTTACTATATAACAGAAATTAGAGCATGGTGCTAGAGTCATGCAAAGAAATAGTTAACACCRTCAAATTTTACTAATATAAATCACTCCATATCAAATTAAACTAGCAGGCTGCTGCCTAATTCCTAATTTCTATTAAATGTATCAAAATTCATTATATTTTCATACATCATATCAAGAGGAATAGCAACACTCCTAATGATAGCATTTCTTTTCAGGATCATCTTGTGTACATAAAATAGTCTATTTAAAAAAACAAAAGAAAAACTTCCCTTGAGTTAAAAYGAAGAAAAAAATAAAAAGCAGTTAGAAAAGAGTGTACTTTATTTGTGTGAACTAAACTTTTAACTAAGCATTAAGCATTTCAAAGCCATAAAGATCTTGGGAGACATCTTCTGAGGACTATTTCTACACAGAGCAGAAATGATTCAGTGGCTGTATTTGTCCTTTCTCATGATAAAGAGAAAGGCTATTGTATCTGTCTCCAGCCACGCAAAAAAGGGATGTTTAACTTCAGATGGCAGTGTCAAGAGCATTCCAGTGTGAGGTTTTGAGGTTTTCTTTTGAGAAACTTTTCTTACCATGTACTTCTGTACGGTTACGGCTCTAAATAATTTTGATGGGCTAACTAGTAACTGGAATCCAAAGCCAGTATCATTTTTTTTGGCAAAATACTTATATATTCCCTGGGAAAACTGGAGGCAAAACACACAAAATTGGCTGAACAAATACCATTAATGACCTAAGTATCTAGTTCTGAAAGCCAAATTATGTCCCTTTTAGAGTTTCTGAAACATAGTATGAACTTTTTTCAATATGAATCTTGGACTAGGCTTCAGTGACAGCAGGTAATTATGGCAGGGATATGTTAACCTAGTACTCACTTCTATATTTAATTTGCTTACAGTTGTATTGTGTTTTGCTTCAGTTTTAGAAGAGTCTGTGGCTATTCAGCCTACTGTCTAAAGTATAACAGTCAATTCAAGGACAGCAACCACAAACTAAAATGTGGAAAATCCATTACTAATTTAGCAGAGAGCTGAAGAAAACTCAGCTTTTTGCAACCCTGACTTCAGCGTACTCAACCAAATAAATAATCTTCCCAGGACACCAGTGATGAAGAAGTGTGTCACTTTCTAAATATAAATAAGCAAACTCAGAAAATCAAAACTTTATGAGAGCGTTGTCTTCATTCCCCCTGACTGGAAAATGGGTGAGGTGGTCTTTGCTTCTTTTATTTTTAGTATTACTTATATAATAGATATTCTTGTCCAGACATCTTTGTACTAACAAATGAATATATTTTACAAAACATATATCAGACAGAAGCAAGTATTTTTCAGTCATTTTCACAGTTAAAGGCTTGAGTTTTCTCAAATTATTTTGAATGCACTTGTATAAAAACTTAATGATTATTTAATAAGATTAGTAGCAATAGTAATTATTATTACTATCATCATCATCATCAACATCATCATTAACCAGTTATATGTAACTATGATAGCAATAGATGCTGAAGTTATTCAGAGCCACATCACAAGTGGCATTTTTTGGGAAACACCTGAGTTAACAAGGATTCCTGAGCAGTAATTCTATTGAAAGAAAACTGGTAGTAAAAGAAGTGAAGAACATGAGAAAAAGAGGAGAGAATTCATAGAAGTCAGATACATTTGAAATAAGAACAAGCTTGTGAAAATATAGTTGCTATAGATTGAGTCAAAATTGAGGGTGCTCCACTGATGCCACTATGGTGAATATTTTGAAACTATAACATCTCTTTCTTAACGTGGCATTTTCAGAATATTCTTAAACAATAAGTCTAGCTGTAGTATGAGAAACAACATATATACAATGAAATTTTAACAATAAACTACAAGAACAGGTTTTCTAGTCATTTTATAAGTTCAGATATTTTTCCTTGTCACAAATTGAAAAGTAATGCAAGGAGTAGCTTAAAAAGTATAACGGTGCTTGATTTAACTGCTGATTTCAAACCTAGCTGTCACAAGCAACTCCTCTAAATTGATTCTAAAATGTACAGACATGGAAAGAATAGGAAAACCAAGATGGTCATCAAGCAGCAGCAGAAATGCCTTAAATGTGTTAATGATTTTCCAGCTTAAGGAAGGAGAAATCCGTTCCAGGATCTAAAAGCTGTCTGAGGCATGAAACCTTTCATAGAGAATCATTCTAATTGTCTTCTTAGAGTCAATCAATCACATATTCCTAGGCAATCCTACCCAATCAGAAGCTCTTTTATTTTTTTGCTAAAGCTGTGCTTGAGAAATTCGATTTCAAGTCAGCACTGATAGCCATTTATTATGCACCTACACTGACATCTGTGGGAAAGGGAGGTTGGAAAACCAGCTGCAATTCAAAGTCTGACTCTCAAGGGCATTTCTGATTTCCAGGGAAAGAAAAAAAAGAAAGAGCTATATCACTATAAGTGCTCTGCCTATTCCCCTTTACTGATATTGCCAATTCGTCAGCAGTATTTAGTATTCTTTCAATTTTTTTTTTCAGCACAATAAAACTCAAATCATACATCCCTCCACCCCCCCAACCAAGCATTTTCACTGGTTATCTTTTCCATCTTAGCCTCACTACATTTATACTAGAAGCAAAATTAATGAAAATGGGTATCAATGCAGAATATCAACAACTACTCTTAAGAAGTTTGTAGTATCTGTCCACTGTGTAAAGTATATCAACACTGAAATAAAATTGTAACGCTACTGTAAACAGTGGGCACAGATCTCTTTGCCAAAGTCCTTCAGATTAAAAGGCAAACTACTCCTGACAATTTCTGTGACAACACACCCAACAGTCAAATTAGCAAGGACTCAGGAGCTCCATTCGAACAAATGTTTAGGTCCCCTGATTTCAATACTTAAAAGACAAAACAAGAGTGAAAAATAGTAAGACAAACAAAGAACTGAACAAAAAATCCAACCTTACCTTTCACAAGCTCGGACAGTCCACGCAGCAATTATCCATAATGAGATACTAAAAACCAACAGTACAGTTCCTGGACATATTGTCATTAGAGTCTTCATAACAAAACGGGTATTGAAGTTTATCTTATTTAATGCTCCAATGCTTCTAGATGAGGCATCAGTAAAAAGTTTGCTATGCAAAAGCATAACTCTGGCAATAAGATATAGTCTTAAGAACATTGGTATAGATAAAATAATATCCACATCAGCTGTTGTTGTGGATGGAGCGTAAGAAAAGGCAAGCCGGGCTGTCCATGTGAATGTGTAATTCCCAGGTATGGGATGTATAGCACACACCAGTATTTCCAAGCAGATAAAGAAAATACGCTCGTAAGTCATGGCTATTCTCCAGTCATCTGCTCCATTGTCCACCATGAACAACTGAAATAATAAAATATAAGGTTACTTTAGTACATCATTAACAAAACTTGTTRCAATTCCATTTTAAATTACCATAGCTTTCTAGGCTGCCAAAGACTTCTAAAAAAAGAAAAAAATATGCCACCTTATAAAAAGACATTGTTACAACACTACGAAAGGAAACAAAGCTCTGGTTAAGACAAAAGGGATTTTTTAATGTACTGTATTTTAAACTGTTCATGAAACTGAATTTTCATCTGTTATTTACTAAGAATTCCTCTTTTTTCTTTTAATTGTAATCTTTGATTAAAAAAAAGTCTGAACACATTAAGCCTTGTCTGTTCAAAACCAAGTGTTTACTCTAAGGCCATAAAATTGGGAATTACTTAAGTGTTTTCTGATTGGATATCTAAATTACAAATTAAAAATGTTTCCTAAGATGCAGTGTCAAGTCAGCTCAACAACATATCCATGCTTCAGCCAAGGTGATATTATAGCTTCTGTAAAACTACCCAAACGTTCTTTGAGGCACCAATACCAATCAATGTAAGATGCAAAACTACCTGAGAAGGTGCACAAAGACTCAGAAAGATAACTCATGGTGAAAATATGAAAATTAATAACCAGAAAATATCAGAGTAGCCCAGGGAGCCAGATGATGTCCACTAGTAGCTGAAATTTAAACCCATATGTTGGTTGTTGAACAATCAAGGCCTCCAGCATGCCCCCCAGGAACAAAGGTACTGAAACATTTCACACTGTTTAGCAAATTATGTSCCTGATAATTTACTGAATAAAGAGTCAATCAAGCACTACTTGGCACTAGTTGAGAGTAGAGCATTGCAAGAACTTCCAAATAGACAACATTTTTTAGAGAGGAACATAACCTGTATGTACAAAGATACAAAGTCAGTGATAGAAGACATTCCTTCCCATCACTTCAACTCTAGTTTGAATCTAAACAAAGCTGTTCAATAAGAAGGTAAAAGGAAAAAAAAAAAAAAAAAAAAAAAAATAAAAAAAAAAAAAAAAAAAAAAAAAACCTTGCAGAATTTTAAAAATTAGATAATACAAAAATAATGGGTGAGAAGGCAAAGTTCACAATGTGCTTGCTAAAGTAAGAAAGGTATTTTTGGCATATTAAACAATATATACACAGCCAAAACCCAACTCATCTGTACTGCTCTCTGCCCCTTTCCTTCTTTGAAGAGCTTAAAAACACAAGCTAAATTTCCCAGTATTGGTTTATTAGCAAATTAAAAAAARTCTTCATCCTCCTCACAATACATTCAGTTTGTCTTTCAGAAAACTGTTCTATGAAAACTGCTTAAAGAAGCAATAACCACTAATTAACCTTATCATAATTAGAATGATACTAAAAGAAATAAAGAAGTTAACAATATTAAGGAGCAAAACAAATWAAAAAAAAGTCTATCTTTGTGGATCTGGCTTTTATCCTGTATGCTCTTTCTCTCCCTCTTACTACACTGGGTGTCAGTGACAATGTTTTGGCTCTGGCAGTGGCTGCAGGGATGGTGTCAGCAAGAAGCGGTCAGGGCTGCTCTGCAATGCACCCACTGTAGGACACAGCTGAGCTCACAGTGAAGCAGCTGGTGCTTCTGTGAAAGCATTGCTAAGAAATGGCAAAATGTGCCCCAGGCAGTGAGGAGTGAAGGAAAAAAAATGTCAGAAACAGCACTAGAAATTCTGAGATCAGAGAAGAAGAAGAGGGAGGAGGTGCTTCAGACAGAGGAACAGAGAGGAACCCACAGAGAGAAAAGAACCATGCAAAAGGAGACAATTCCCTGAAATCTGTGGAGTTGACCACTCCAGAGCAAGCTGGGTATTTCCTGAAGAAACCCTAACACGCAGAGATTCTCTTTAGAGTAACTAGTGGCTATGGAAGTCCCATGCTGGAGCAAATTTACCCTGAAGGGCTGCAGACCATAGAGGGGACCCACAGAGGAGCACAGATGTGTGAGGAGAAAGGAGCAGCAGGAAAGAACTGTCGTGGATAGACTGCCATTCCTCACACCCCCTGCATCACTCATGGAGGAGAAGATAGACGAGTTGGGAATGAAGAGGCTGAGTCTGGGAACAGGGGAGTGGGGTAGCCTATTTCTTGCCATCCTATTCTACTTTTAAATGTCAATAAATTAAATTAATTTTACCCAAGCTGTGCCTGTTTTGCCAGTGCCAGTAATCAGTTAGGGATCTCCCCACCTCTGTTTCAACTCACAAACATTTTCATCTTATTTTCTCGCCTTGTCTTTTTGAAGAGGGAGAGCAAAAGAGTGGTTGGGTGGGGSTCTGGCAGCTGGACAAGGTCAAGTYACCACATTGACATAAGTTCTTATCTCCACTGCAATATTATTGAGACAAAGACATACAGGGTTGAGTTCGGCTAAAGAAAAACTCAGTGAATTCAATGTATGCTTCGTGAGCATATACAGTTTCTTTTAGCTGGGGTCACTCTGCAAACTCGAGATAACAGATATTTGAATTGATACTGGAGGGCCAATTTATGTCTGTCTGTCTTACCAAAAGAGTGCAAGTCTGCCCTTCACAAATGCAGTATTTGGTATGAAGGGCCAAACTTTCAAAGTCCTATAAAGCTCCAGGGCATTTGATTCTTGTGATTAGCCTGCAAATGCTGTCAGTMAGATCACAGAAATGTCACCTCAGTTATGAAGAGATCTAGGTATTTAGAACACCAAGAACACAGAATAATAGTAACAGCGTGACTGAAAAAAATTTAGATAATATCACATCTCTCAAACACCATGTGGGTTTACAAAGAAAAGAATAAATTTAGATTTAAATATTTCAGTTGTTGGACACATATCAAATATATGTCAAAGTGGCAGTGCTACAAAGTTTCAAAATCTGCTGAAAAAGCTATGGTCTTTTCCTCCTCCATTTTTGCATACCTTCTTCATAGATTAAAAAAAAAAAATCTATATGCAGAAAGGCAATTCAAGAAAAATTATACCTTCAGTACTGTTTCAATTTAAAAGATGAGAACAGAAGAACGCTGAGTTAAACACAGGCATTAAAATCCAATCTTACAATTTTTGCAGAAGATAGTGTTATTTTATGACTGAGTTTTTTAAAAACATTGAGACATCATTATGAAATACATACTTGATAACATAGTCACCTGTCAGCAGAAGAAATCCTAACATGCCACATAGAAAGAAATTTCTCTGCAGTTCTCAGTGGAACGTGTTATGCTTACAGATGCAGAAGATCCTTATCAAACTCCCTTGACCTTAGCTGTGACAATTTCTTCTAAGGGAAATAATATTTTAAAGTGATTATATCTTAAGCTGTCATATAATAAGATTTAGGAGGCAAAAACATGAAAGACAGAAAACACCAGAAGTCACAAAAGACCACAGATCCAGTACAAACATTTCTATTTCATAACAATAYTAACATTTCAAAATCACATTTATGAGGATGACTTTGTTACAATTCTTTGTCTAGGTTCAAGCCATGATGGACATCAAATGCTCCAGAACACGAACGGGCCTCTAAACATGCTGTGAATAACAATTAAGTTTGGATATAAAAAAAGGACACAGAAATTAGTACATGATTTCATGTACATTTTATGTACTTGCAATTATGCAATCGACTAAATGCAAGCTTCACTTCTGATCTGGAAGACATGGAGGTATTTGTGTATGCCTGTGTGTTTGGCTACCTGCATTTCCACTTAGGAAAGAGAGGACTGCAAATGAATGGAGCAGGACAACTGAACAGCACAATGCAAAGGGTAYGTGAGCACACCCTTAGCTGATTTCAGTCAATCTGGCAATAATTACCATRTATTAATTTCAAGATACTCCTCTCATCTGAATGGAGAACAATGCTAGCAATAAAAAGAGAATGTAATAAAAGAGTGATCAAACCTTCCTATAGATTTGAGTCCTGCACTTTACAGAGAAGGACAAACTCCAGTCAAGGTCACAGATGTTGTGCTCATGCATCGTTCTCAAATTTCTTGCAATTAATCAGTGTTAAAATCTAATGCAAGTACTTCATCAGTGTACTGCAAGGTTCTTCAAATACAGAACTCTCATATAYCTTCACTATGTCTCATCTTAGTGTGAAAAATTCTAAAGTTATTTTCACCTGGAATTATGTAATGTATTTCTAGCATGTTGTATGTGATTGTAAGACATAGAATTGATCTTTAAGTTCAAATAAACTTGATATTTGTAATTCCACATATCAAAAACATAACTGATATGATAGATATCAGTTGGATGGATATTTATATAGGTATGTGTACATTCATCCAACACTTGTGTGTTACGCAGTGTTACATTCATATAACACCAGATGGAAAAAAGAGAAAGACATTCTAAAYAGACAGATTGCACACAATGACAAATTGGATCAGAGACTCCCTGAAGGAGAGAAACAAAAGCAGAAAAGCTGATTTTCTAAATGTTGGTGAATGCAAAGAACAAGGAACTAGTCATGTTTTAAAAATGCCTTTGCAGGCAAAAGAACAAATCTGAGAAATGTATCACCAGCCTACTGTAATACTGCGGGGATGCATTAATACAGGAGTAAAAAGGAAGCAACAAAGAGTGATAAAGTGGCATCAGCTGTAGTTCTGGAAGCATTCCTTGGAGAAAGGAAATCAACTTTATTTACAAGCTAATTGTTGCAATTGTTTAATTTAAGAATCCAAATTAAAGATGGTTAAATACTGGAGTAATTTAAACTTTATAAAACAACTGATAGCACGATGGTTTAGCGTAGTGAAATACAGCCTCTGGGATTCATAACTTACCAAAATTTTGGACTCAATATTTTTCTATAATTTGTAGTACCCAAAATATCATTTACACAATCAAAAAAAAAGAAAACATTATGGTAGAGGAAGAAGATACTGCTTTTGTCTCACTACTCCAAACAGCCAAGTTACTATCCCACAGCACCTCATTAAGTAAAAATAATTTAAAACAATTTTCAATAGGAGATTGCTATCTTAAGCCTTTAGC